GAAGATACTCTGAAGACAGGAACTGCTTAAGTATGTTGAAAGAACAAACTGAAATTTGTCTATGTCTATTACCTTTTTAAGCAGGGACAGTAAGTTTTCAAACATAGCTGGATTTTCCCTTGAAATTATTTCCTTAGTCCAGGCTGGCAGAATGCTGCAAGCCTTATTCTGCAGCCATTTTATCTTCCTTGCTCCTGCAACAAGCCCAAAATCTTCAGAGTAGTTTCTCTATCCATGACAAGCTGTTGTAAATTTTAGTTTTAGTATGTGTATTTAGATTACCTACATGCATAAAGTTCATATGGACTATTTCTCTAGGCAAGGTTATCTAGTCATTGGTTTTTAATTCCCTGTGTCACTTCTCTTGGCTGAACTAAATTTTGTGAAAAGTGTATTGTATGTCCAGTATTAATTTATTACTTTTAAATTTCTTTATTCTTGAATCAGGTGAGCAGATTTAATAGGCTATATAAGCACCTTCAAACTTTCACTCTTGTAAGAGTTTTATAGTATACGTATGTACACTCCCTTTATTCATATTTCCATGCTATAGGCTTTTACTTAGTTCATGTAAGTGTTAGATATTGTACCTATTTATATAACATGAATATAAATAGCAGCATACTAGTATCTAAAACTAGGAGCTCCCTTGTTTATCTGGCATGACTGCTATTACTGCCACTGGATTATGTGACCTTGTTTAATCTAGAAAGGGCCCTTCCCTCCTCTGTTTCAATGATTTGGGAATGTCCAGGGATAATTACATTGTGATCTGGGTTGTTTCCCCCACCCCCCAAGTCATAGGACTGACCGGACCTATTTCCCCTCTTGTAATTGCAAAATAGTCTTGCATCTCAATGTTTAAGCTCATTGTTAATTTCTTTTATGCATGCTCAGGTCTTCTGGGACCTTTGAATGAATGATCTGCTTTTAAAAATCAAAATAAATGAGTTTTTCTTGTGTAGGTCATGTTTACTTTACTGAATTTTGACACCTGAAGTATTTTGATACTAGAGAATCCCAGTGGGCATATGATTCCTTTTAAATATAAAAGGTGGCTAATTTAGGAAAGCTAGACTAAAAAAAATTACAAGAAACTGAGTAGAATAGCAACAGTGTATAAAAAAAAAAGCCTTTTTTTTTTTTTTAAGAGTCTACAGTGTTGCCAACACCAGGCATTAAAAAAAACAGGAATTTTTTTTTTTGCCTTTCATAATTTTTAAACACAAATTCAAGATACTTTTTTAAAACCTTTTGTTTGTGTGTTTATTTAAATTGTGGGCATCTTTCAAAAAATGTGTGCAAAATAGGTTTTTTTAATAGGAGCTCCATGCATGTCATATGACTCAAGGAGGTGGGACTTTAAGAGAAACATCAATTTGGAGACCAAGAGCACAACCGAGGCCTGGCAGCCACATGCTTACAATGGTAGCATTCAGCTCTGAAGTGCTGAGATACATCTCATTCCATGGCTTATGCAATGAACTTGCATTTTTAATTTACAAAGCAGTTCATCTGAATACAGGGGGTATACCTTATGACCTTTTTGAAAGGTAATTTTTGTTTTTAGAAGTGATCAGAAGTGTTCAGTATAGCATCACTTCAGTCTTTGTAATTGCTACTGAAAAGATTTTAAAAAAATATCTGGTTTCAACAGCCTGGTAGTACTAAAACCAGTGAGAAACTTGCATTTATTTCAGTGGCCTTTGGATCTGGCTTGCAGAATCACCTGAGATGCTAGTTAGAAGTTTTGTAAGAGGTTTGAGGTTGGGCTGAAGCAGTCTTTGCTGTTAAATTCGGTTTACTTCTCTTGCTGCATGGCAGCATCTCTGTACAGTGACCCCTTACAGGGCTGCAGAGGTTTGGGCTACCGCCCTTCAGGTGTTGGAAAGATGGATGTGACAAGTTATCTGGTAATTTAAATTAGGTCAATGTGTAGTTGCCAGGGTAGTGGTTTCAACTTCATTACCAGTTTACGGTAACTTGACACATTATTTCGTCCCTATTATTATTTTATTTTAAAAGCACTTTTTTAAAATCCCATTTGCTGGTAAAGTCATATGCCAGCCACAATTTTCACTGTTTCTTCACACCGCAATGAATAAGAACAACACGCTTTGTGTAACTGAGTGACAAATAAAATGCGACATTTTAGTTGGGGGGGGGGGTGTAGAAGAACCACAATACTGTTTTTCTTCATATACAAAAATGTGAACACCTATCTGAAAATGTTGGATTCCATGGTACTGGGCACCACAGGAGGAAAAAAAGAAAATGAGACGGTCTGTAAAGGTAAACCTTGACAGGTGCTAGCATTCTTTTGCCTTCTGTTGCCCTTACCTTCTGTTTGGAAGGAGGCTATAGCTGAGTCAGATGATCTGGAATTACGCAATTTTAACTTTGGACGTATGCTACAGCTTTGTCTTCTGTTCTTCCCAGCTAAATACCGAGTCCTCCTTCTGACTGATTTTCATTTGTCTCCCTGATTGAGGTTTTTTTATTCATGGCTACATAGTTCTCAGTTTCAAGAGGAGCCTGAAGAGTGGGACTGTGGTGTTCTCCAGCACGTTGCATGGCGCAGTCTTTGGGTTCTGCTGCTGCGGAGAAGGGCAGGATTCTGATTTCCTTCTGGCTGAAAGCTATAAACACTGGACTGTAGAGCCAAAGCAGTGCAGCACTACAAGCATAGCCATGGGATTGGGCAAAACCAGTCAGCACTTGGCGAATTTTCTCCCACTTCCCCAGGAGAGTTGCATAGATTGGGTGCATTACTGTTGAAGCTATCAGTAGTGCAACTAGGGACATGGACGCCTGTTTCCCTAGAAGGGGCAATCAGGACTATACGAACAAGTGACGCCCACAGAAACTTTTGAGCTGGATATGGAAACCTTAATGTATGTAAGCACCTGCAGGGTTAGTCAGTCCTGGAGTGCTGGCAGGTGGGGTTTTATTCTGGGAGTTCTGTGCATAAAACCTAAGTCTCATTATAGGCAGATTCAGTCTCACCCTGTGTCACTTCTGTAATAGTTAATCCATCAGGAAACATGAACTTTAATTTTATTTTCACTGGGCTTTTAATTATCAAAGCTTTGAGGAGCAAGTTACAAGGATAGAATAGTTTTATAGTTGATTATATGTGAAATTTAAGCAGATCTGATGGATCAAGGAAAAGAAAGCTTACTCTGGTTTATATCTTTTATTTGAAGGGAGTGGCTGAAGTTAGTATTTTCTTTCTTCTGAATGGCACACATGGATTGTTCCTAAGCAGTTATGCCACAGTGTAAGCTTACATTGAACTTTCTATTCCATTTTCTAACAACCTTTAGGTTATTCTGAAGTAAATGTATTTGCAGTAACAGAAGTGGCTATGTGCAGAAATATAAGTCTGATCGTAAAGAATTTTTTTAATTTTCTAAATGAAAATGTTTTTGAAGTATAAGTTGCCTGATAAAAATAACCATTTTTGCCAAGTGCTGAAGTTCTAATAGTCCAGAAAGTTGGAGCCAAGAGTCCCATTCAAACCTCTGTTCTCTGGATGTCAGCTTAATCATTGACTGTGTCTCACTCAGCGTTCTTTTTCTGTCCATGCAGAATTGTAGTGGTTTGAGTTGTATCCTCTTTTTGCAGTATTTCTGAAGCATAAACAAGAGCAGATTTAAATAAAAGCAAGATTCTGAGAGAAATGAATGTCAACCACCAAAAACGCTTGGACCACAAAAAGAATGTATCTGGAACGAACTTTTTTTTCCAGAGTATTTTACTGAAAGGCAGTAAAAAGACAAAAATGTTAAATAACTGGGTCCTGAAGGTGCTGTATGTAATTTTGAAAGGGATATATAGTGCCTGGAAAGGTTGTGAAATCATGTTTACTAATAAATATTCTAAATCATAAGTTTTAGGGAGATAATAGGCATAATAACGATAGGTAACCTATAACTTACAACAATGTTCTTTACCAGTAGAATATCTTGTAAATCTGTCCTTGTGATGAACAGCAGCACTTACTCAGACTAAAAATAATAGCAGGACCGTGTATCTTGGATCCCAGGAGACTATTGGTGTTTTTGTAGACGGCAGACAGGAGAAAAAGGCATTTTGTCCTTTTTACCCCAAGTAATCCCACTGGAAAATTAAACATGTGCTATGAATTGATATCAACTCATGCCAGGTTACCTCCCTAAAGAGGGCTGCTGCAAACACTGTTGCTACATTTCTTGGACAGCAGTTTGATGGCCTGTGTGCATGATGGATATTTTATGCTGTATGCTACTGTGGAACAGTGTGCTACTGTCTGCCCCTTGGAGACTGCTGGTGAGGTGTGCCACAAATAACTGGGAACAGCAGTTGCTTTAACCCTACGGAGGATCTCAAATACCTGCAAATTAAAAATGTTACTGAAATATTGCTGCGTGCGTGTGTGTCTGGGAAAACTGTTGGGTTTGTTTTTTAAGGTTTAATCCTGCAAAACAGAGCAGTTCCTTTTGTCTTGCTGTGGATTCCTACTGAACACGGGATAAAAAAAAATATTAAGCAATATATTAGCAAGAAATATTTAGAGAAACCACGAACCTTTTTTTAATGGACCACCCTATCCAGTTTCTGTTCTTTTAAGGAAGTTTTTCCTATTCATGACTCATTTCACTCTTTGGCTAACATAAAGGGAAATGGAATAACGATTAAGCAAAGGAATGTATGTTTTTTTCTGGTTTTGTCCATTTTTCAAAACCTTTATGAATTTTCTGCATAACCTTGTGTAAATATATATGGATGTAGAAGCTTGACAACTCTGACAAGGTAAAAAGTACACTGCTAATACTTGCTTCTTAGTAATTTTTTAAAAATGTTACTTTTGGTTCTACAAGTTAATGTTATGCTGGATACTCCAGACTCCCTATTCAGTGAAAATGACATGCTCCAGGCAGCCAATTACACAGAACTGTTAAGTGAAATTAATGAGATCACCCCCAGATTACACTTTGTGTTTTATTTTCATTTTATAGGTCTGTACGAGCTGCTGGCTGCATTGCCAGCCCAGCTGCAGCCACATGTGGACAGCCAGGAAGACCTGACCTTCCTCTGGGATATGTTTGGTGAAAAAAGCCTTCATTCACTGGTGAAGGTAAACCACATTTAAGTCAGATTCTCTTTGAGAAGAGCATATGGAAAAATGTTTTGAGCGCCATCTAGTAAACCAGTGATCAAACTGTTGCTCAGCGAAAACAAAACAGCCTTGTTTTAACTCTGTTTCTGTCAGGGGTGGAAGTTGTTAAATAAGATTCTACCAAAAATACATAGATGATTTCATTTAAGAGTGATGTTTTGGCAGTGTAATGCTAATGCAGCAAACATATGTTGTTTGCCCTTGTTTAGAAAAAAAGAGTACGAAATAGTAGCAGGAAATCTGAGACTTCTTTATGGTCAACATTCAAGACCTGGAGTTTAGCTTAAATAAATAAATGTTCACAGCAAAAATTAGAAGGAATATATTTTCTGAGGTCAAGTATGGCAACAGTTCAGTAGCCACATTAATTTAAAATAATTTCCTTTAACAAAGTCAACTGAAATTCTAGTAAGCTGTTTCTTTTATTGGCTTGCCTCCATTTAAAATTGTGTTTTGCACATAAATATGTTGGACTAAAGTGCGACCTAAAATAAGTTTGGAAGAATACTTGAGTAAATTGTCCTGCTATGAAAATGATCAGCAACAAGAAATCAAAGAATGCCATGGGAGTATGCAGAGCTACCCCAATAATGTTAAAATTGCTTATAGCAGAAAAATGGGACCAATCAGCTGGTTAGAAATGTTCCACTCCTACGAAATGGTAAGTGTGTCTTCAGTCTCCAGTACGGAGCAAATTCAAGCTGGAAGGAAATTCTGAGGTCCCAAATGAGTTGGTAGGTGGTAGTAACCTGTGCCGTGAATATCTCCGGACTCACACATAATTGAGCAGAATTTGTTATCCTTGTCAGTCATTGATGTAGAAGAAGCTTAAAATTTGGATTATTTCAATGTAGGTTTTAAGAGTCACCTTTTTCCATTTCTTTCAGCTATCTTATTCCAGAAAAAGATGTAATAATGTTGATACATGGCCAAAATTATTTTCAAATTGGCTGAGAATTTACATATAAAATAAACACAGGTACTCTCTGGTAGTTGATACACAAAAGCAACAAACAGAGGAGTGCTTGGCAATACTCGCTTGCCTGAAGAATTTCATCAAAGTTTCTGAAATGCGGTGATTTCCAGACTCTGTACTGCTTTGCTGCAGCTGTCTGTTCAGGTGGCTCAAAAGATCACTGAAAGGGGAACTGGTTTTGTTTCTAATATAGGCTGACAGTGCTGTGCATCAAAGCAAAATATTAGGTCAGTAGCTAAATCAGTTTTCTCTGTGGATTTGGAATTGAAGAGGGCTGGCTTGAAAATGAGTGTCGATCTGCAAAACATTGCAATTTCAACATTTACTCTGATTTTGTATTGAGGCAAAAGCTAAACTTTTTCCAACTTGTTCACTTGCTCCCTTTTGCCCCTTCCCCCAAAAGAAGACAAAGATAGCACAACAGCAACTAGTTTACTCGCCTTGAGTATACTCTCAGTTTGGAAAAGTTGGCTCTCCTGGTTGCATGCCCTAGTTACCATGTTGTTTGCTATTGCAGGGTGGATTGGTCCTTCTGATTTTAACAAAAAAGAATTCATGAAAAAGCTTTCTTGAGGGAGATAGAAAGTTTGGGGGATCAGTGAATGGTCACTTTATTGCAGTAACAACAAGAAGGCATTGAAGTATTCCAACCATCTTTATTATTTACCTTGTTGGTTTTAGGTTCAAGTACTAAATGTACGTGTAACTCTGACGCTGTGAATGGTTCTTTTAATGTCCTGTTAAGTTTCACACTATCTTAAAATACACTTAATTCTTGAAACTGCATCTTTAGTGTTCACTAGTTGCACTTCTTTAATATGCCATACTAATTTCATTCAAAAGACAAAGTTTTTTAATTATAAGAATTGAGACTTAAGAGTATCTGGTTTGACCCAAAGCATATCACAGGCTATTGAACCTCACCTTTTGGTTGCTGTGAATTTCAGTTATAGAAAGTAGGGCATGCAGAGCTTTCAAAAGGTTATCTAGTTCATATCCCTGCCCCAAGATGGGCTTAACTGTATCTGAAACTCATGGTATTTGTTTGACCTTTAACACATTTTTAGAAGGATTATTCAGTATCCTATCAAGTTTCAGAGAAGGCAGTCCATAGCCTTTTTGGAAGAGAGCTGTAAGAGCAGAAGAATGAACCCCATCTGCCATAGTTTTTCCCTGTTACAAGGCTTCAGAAGTGCCAAATCTTTCTTTCTGGGTTCTGGTGTCTTATTTGAAAGACTGTTTTTCCTAGCAATAACTTCTTAAAGTCAACTGTACTTGCAAAGACAAATGTTTTTAATTCCTCAGGCAGAGAATGATGACAGATATTTTGTAATAAAAAAAAAAAAAAAAGCACTAGCTTAGAGCCAAGGATGTTGTGATCCTGGTATGTGTCGGTTTTGGAAGAAAACGAGCATGGGTGTACTACTAATTAGGCACTACTATTTCTTTATTTCAGATAGACACACTGCTTAAAAAACATTTCTACACTGATTTTCTTACCTTACTGTTGAATAATTTCAAATATTAGAAAAGAGCTTTTTTTCTAAGTTGTAAAATGGATAAAATGCTCCAAATTACATGAAAGGTTTAAGCATAAAATTAATTCTCTACTTTTTCTACAGATGTTCTAAGTATTTATCATAGTGTTTTCTGTATCTTTGTAGACTGTGGTATATTGTTTGCTATTCTGGCTCTCTTAATATTGAAAAGAAAGAAAAAAAGAAAAAAAAAAATCCCCAAACCTTGTCTTGGAGTTCTCTTCATTCAATATTGTTGGACAGAAATCTCTTTGTGAACTTGGATCAGCCTGAGCTGTTCTAAGAAGTCAGAAATGGAAAAGTTGTATTAGATCATCCAGTCCATTCCCCTGCAAATGCTGGATTGTTCCCTACGGTACATTCCTATTGTAGTAAGTAAAACCAGCAAAAACTGATGCAACTGTTCTTGTTGTCCTTTTTCTCAATAAAGGAATCTGTTGATTAGGTTTTAGTTTGTGAAGTATAGAGAAGAGGGAACCCACAACTATTGTTGACAGTTTGGAAGAGAAAACTGGCTCTGGATAGTGAATGTTTAAAATTTGTCTCTGCTTCCCTCAATTTGTTACTTCCTTGTCTTATTAGACGACTCTCTTAAGTTCTACCAAAAATCTTCAGCCATCTCATTACTTTTTATATAGCAGAGATCCCAGTAATTCTGTAGAGATTTATAGGAAAGAAACATGAAGAGATGATCCTTCAGGGTAATTATGAGCACTAACGTAGCTGAAACCTGAAATAGTACACATGTGCTCTGCTTGAATTTTTTTTAGAGGAACAGAAGGGATAAATAAAGGTCTGTTCTAACTACTCTTTTCGCTTATTTTTAGAGGAGCTGCAAGAATTTCCGTGTGTGTGTGCTTGCTGTTAACGCACCGGACACATGTTTTACTGTTTGTCTGTTTAGCTCCAGGATGAAGCTTCTACTTGCACTGCCACCGTAAACGTTTCTGGTTGTGGATGTAATGCTCAAGAATTGAGTAGGCTTATCTGTTGGGCTGCTACTGAAGTGTTTCTTAACCAATTGCATTTTACTGATTGGTTTGGGCCAGCTCAGAGCATGTACACTTCTTTAGCCAGTACTATACTTTGCATTATGAAAAAGAAGCCACAGCAAGTGGTGTTGCAGTTCCATTGACAGGGAAGAGTTTGTACATCCAAAAAGCAGTATGTGGCACTGGAAAAGAAAATAACTACTACAAAAGTAAGGAAGATTTGGTAAATCTAGTCTGATTTTTTTGTAACTGCATAGTATTTTGGTAGCTGGCCCTGCCAGACCTTAGTTTGTCCTGGTTTTCTGTTAGTTTCAACTGAGTATGACTTGGCTTGAAGTTATGAGAAATTATTTCGTATGTACTAATGTTTGTCCATGTTGATAGCTAACAACTTTTTATAAGTAATCTAATCTCTAAAAATAAAACAGCTGAGTGTATCCTGGTGTAATTTCTTTGGCATGTAAATCGATTCATATGATTACATAGCCCAAATTTTACAATCGTTGTGGTGTACTGGAAATTTTCAGTGTGAAGTCTCAGATTTTTCAATATGTAAATGTAGGTGCTTTCAGCCTACTGTGGTTCCTTTGTTGGTAATGAGAAAAATAAAGATAGCATTTAAAAAAAATGAGCTGACTAGAGCAAAGCGGAAGGGATTGATTTGACACATGTTTACAGTGATAAAATCAATGATCTGCAGATGATGTGCTAAACCTTCAGTCTGGACTGGTACAAGCCTAGTTCGTAGGCAAGTCTATATACACTCTTTTAGTTTTTACCCAGTGCTTTACACACAAACTCCATGAAAAAAGCTGTTAATCTGTAGGATGAACGATTTTGCATCTACAGTACAGAATCAGAGCATCTCAATTTCATGGCTTGTTTTATGTTAGAGGATAGACTAACTCCTAACTGTCCAGCCTTTCACCTGGGAAGAGCTATGCAGATTCTTTTGGCACTCGTGGAAAGGTCGTATGGTGCAGCTTCCCCTACCCTGTGGTGTGTCAGACATTCTGCAGCCAACATCCAGGTGCGTGCTGCACAGATCGTGTGCATTCACCTCCTGCGTTGTGCATCTGAATGGTCAATTCTCCTGCCTGGCAGTGTGCTTGAGCATCCCCACATTTCGATCTTCTTCCCAAAAGAACGTAGAGAAAATGGACTTCAGATTATATGAGTTGTTCTGATGAGTTGTGTGTGACAACTAATTGTTCTGAACTCATTGTTCTGAATGTTTGATGGGGATGACCCATAGATGGGGAGGGAATGATATCTGTGTGTGTGTCAAAGGACCAGGGGGTTGGTGGTGGCTGAGGAGGATGTATTAGATAGCGTAAGACCTGAGCATGACACAAATGATATGGAATGAAGGTTGGAGATTGTGCTGAGATGGAGTTGGCTTTCTTCATGGCGGCCCGATGATGTTAATGTTGGCTGCTTCCACACTTCAAG